CCAGACACCAGATCCCAGACACCAGATACCAGATACCACACACCAGATACCAGACACCAGATATCAGTACCAGACACCAGATACCAGATAAAGAGATAACAGATACCAAATACCAGATCCAGATACCAATACCAGACACCAGATACCAGATACCAGACACCAGATACCAGACACCAGATACCAGACATCAGATACCAGACACCGGATACCAGATACCAGACACCAGATACCAGACACCAGATACCAGATACCAGATAAAGAGTAACAGATACCAAATACCAGATACCAGACACCAGATACCAGATACCAGATACCAGACACCAGATACCAGACACCAGATACCAGATACCAGACATCAGATACCAGACACCGGATACCAGATACCAGACACCAGATACCAGACACCAGATACCAGATACCAGACATCAGATACCAGATACCAGACACCGGATACCAGATCCCAGACACCAGATACCAGATACCACACACCAGATACCAGACACCAGATATCAGATACCAGACACCAGATACCAGATAAAGAGATAACAGATACCAAATACCAGATTCCAGATACCAGATACCAGACACCAGATACCAGATACCAGACACCAGATACCAGACACCAGATACCAGATACCAGACATCAGATACCAGACACCAGACACCAGATACCAGACACCAGATACCAGACACCAGATACCAGATAAAGAGATAACAGATACCAAATACCAGATACCAGACACCAGATACCAGATACCAGATACCAGACACCAGATACCAGACACCAGATACCAGATACCAGACATCAGATACCAGACACCGGATACCAGATACCAGACCCAGATACCAGACACCAGACCAGATACCAGATACCAGACATCAGATACCAGATACCAGACACCGGATACCAGATACCAGACACCAGACACCAGATACCAGATACCAGATACCTGATACCAGATACCAGATACCAGATCAAAGATGCCAAAGGATAAAAAATGATTAGAGATAGGGATAAAGTTATCGCTAGCATTGCATTAGGATACCAGCAACTGCGCTACGTGACGTTTTAAATAAAGACATCAACGTGCAATATTTTGCATAGCGTTAGCGTGCCAGCAACTGCGCTAGTTTCTATTATTATAACACGTTTGTGATATCAATTGCTTTTAAAGTGACCTGCACATCTACAGTGTTGCCGAACCGGCCAAAAAAACGGAATCGGTAAATAGTGTCATTGAATTCGGTATAAGGAAAATGCCGTCCCAAGATCAGTAATAGATCAAGGACCTTTGAGTCATGAAAAAAGTCTGTTATTGTATTGGGCGCGCACACAACATGTTTTTGAGGGCGTAGTTCTATATTACAACTTCTACAATGTGCATACTGGTCGCTCTTTCAAAGTACATTGCAACAATTCTGGAAACTCCTTTTTCGATTCTTGCTTATAGGATTGTGAATATTTTTCTGTTTTACCCCTGAACTGATGAACTCACCTCTAATTTTAATTAAATATTTATTCTGAAAACATAGAGGTTTCGGTTTCTTTATTGCTTGTCCGGTGATGAGGTAATGACGGTAATCTACCGTCAATATTTCATTTGAAGCTTTTATTTGTCATAAGATTTTAGCAAAACGTAAGTTTGTAAAGGCAACACCGCACCCTGCAGCCCAGTTGACAAGAACGACAATCTGTTAAGATTACTGATGTTTAGATCCACAAAAAGAATCGATATGTATCGATTCTTATCGTTTTAGGAAGTATCGATACTCTAAAATATTGGAATGAAATTATCGATATCCAGCGGAAGGAAACAAAGAAGGAAAGTAATCTGAAATTAGTCACTCTTTCTGATACAGTCTGGATCGAAAGATGACGATACTCGTGAAATGTATCGATACGCCCAAGTGTCGTATATAAAAATATCGATATAAAATTTCGGGTATGGGAAGCAAAAAGTATCGATACTTCTAAATATAGGATCGTATCGAACATCCCTACTGTCAAGATGTATAACCCGAGGTACCGACGGAGCTATTTTGGGGCGTCATAGAAATAATTTTAAATTTTCATTTGCATTTTTTCAAGTGTTATGCAACGATTTGGGAAAAATTCCATATAAAGCATAGTAGAGTATATTTCAACAGTTGGCGGAGCCTACCGGTTACCCCACTGGGACCAAGGGTTGACGGATCCCACACATGTGTCACTCGTTGGGGAGTCTTGAAATGTACAGGTAATAATCAGCTGTTATTCAAATAATGTCTAATATAAATAGAACCTAGAATGTGTACTCAGTGAAACAAGAGAGTTATTGCAAATTCTATTTTTTTGCAGGTTTCAAGTTTGCCGGTAGCTTTACGACATATATTTGAGTATTCTTAATCGCTTGTAAATATTGTGTGGATGTTTGTTCAGTTCCTGAACTACCAAAAGTATTTGACTTTATGGATGTATGGATATCAAAAACCCTGAATGGTTTTGTGGGAATATCAATCGACGTGCTATAATGGTACGGATGAACAGCAAGTAAATGAATGAATGTCTGGAAACGAGCAATATCTATGAAATTTTTGGTGGAGCCTGTCATCAAGTAGGTGCTTAATGGCTGTATGCAAGAGGTTTATAGGTAAAACACACGGTAGGTAATGTTGAATTAGTAAAATCGCATATCAATTGAATAAAATAATATAAATATGAATAAACAATCGGCAATATTAAATAAAAACATGAATTTTGTTCAAAAATCGAACACTTTTTAAATTTTTGACTAAACCATATGTAACTTCTTAATAGTCAATAAGCTGGTGATGTTTCAATAACAAGCTGTCATCTCATACTTTGACAGCATTTTGTTTTCAACATTTCATAGCTATTGGTTGCTAAAATTTGTTGATTGGACTTGAAGCTCATTCGCTGTATTGACGGAGTGTTACCCTATAGGTGGAAAATAACGGACTGTTGATTTGACCATCCTCGTGAAATCCACCCTTAGTAGATTTTAAAAAAATGCGACGTATATCTATCAAAAATTATAAACAGATCTTTTTTAAATATTAGCATACATCCAAAAATGAACCTACCCGCTGACAATCCGGCAAGCAACCTTCCAAGGATAAGCATCTCAACACTACCAGCAGGCTTGCAAGAGAAGAACATTACGGCAGCCATTGCAGCCAAGGCAGCGCATATCACCAAGACGCTCTTTCTGCCCAACCGGGCGGCCAGTGCAGAGCCGCCCAATGACCCTACGGCCGCCCCCAATATGAACGTGCACACCACTGTGGACCATACTATGTTCAGGGCACATGGGGATGGATAATCGCCATAGTGGGCGAATATACTTTCGTTGCAGAATTGTCGGATGATCTGAAATTGGAACATTTATAAAAACGACTTCAAACGATTAAATAGTTTGTTCTTGTAAAATAGCTAAATGCAATCTCTTTCATACAAAAAAGAAATATCAAACCTGTTCACCCCTCGTTCATCCATTTATTCCTCTCCCAATTATTGATGGCATGGAAAAATTGATGGGCGATATATGGATGGATGAAAGAATTAGACAAATTAATTATTTCCCTAAAGGGCTCTTTGAACACTCTTCAAGGGTATGAAAAAATTAGCAGGTCATTGAAAGTATTTGTTCGAAACGATGACCTTCTTAAGAGTGTGAGTATTTTCTTGAATTTTGAGGTAGCAGTATGTCTGGTAAAAATAAGCCACCAGACATAGATTTGCGATGTGAGGATTGTGAAGAGGATATCCGTAAAGGCAGTGCAAAGTAAAATGTTGTAATGTAAATTGTGAAGTTACCCTACATCAGAAATGCTTCTCATCGATTGCCAAAGCTATAAAATTAGAAAAATCATATGGCAATGGAGCTTGCTAAAGTGAAGTTAAAATTCGGCTACTATTAACTGACCTTATTAATGAGTTAAATCTACTAACAAAATTTGCTTGATAAAATTGAACAAACCACATCCAGCAGACCTCCCGATGCGCAAATACAGCAGAATACTGAAATCTCGAACCTTATAGTCAAAAACTGTAAACAATCATACCAAGGCTGTTTTAACTATTTCGTCAAATGATCAAAACAATCAATCTCTGATGTTTTGAATACTGTTAAAGCGAATGTTAACCCTGCTGCTGAGAAAATAGGAATTAATGGTGTTAAGCTTATAAAAAATGGAATGTTGATTAGTTGCTCTGACGAAGAATATTCAGAAAACCTTAAAGGCGTAGTCAGAATAAGTTTAGCAGTAAGTATAAACTACAGCTCCCAAACACTTCAAAACCCCGTCTCTTGATTGCTGATGTTGAGAAATCACTAATAATGATAAAAACACTTTCAAATAATGATTACTTGGTTGAATGTATATAATGTGATATCTATTCTGAAGCTAAAATATGCGTTGAGTTATATAGTAGAGGTTGATCCTGATGTGAGGAAATTAGATGTTTTAGCTATTCTCGATTCGTTCATTGAAAAACAGGTTGCAAAAATAAGTCTGTGTGTTCCCTATATTCTGATGGATATTTTTAACTATGTTAGTAAGAAATGTGTGAATTGCTGTGTATATAATAAAATTATATGAAAAGTCATTCTAGAGATTTTAAGCCATATCCAGTGATCATGCTGCATCTGACAGACAATGTCCATGTTATTTAAAGGAATATGGTGAATTAAAATCTAAAATTGACTATGGCTAGGGCTAATAACAAAGTTTTAAATATTCGTCATCTCAATGTGCGGTCCTTGAACTACTGCTTTTGTAAATTAGTTCAAAACAAATTCGATTTTATATGTATTACCGAAACGTGGCTTAATGAAACCATTCCGAATCAAGCTGAATCTAGCTAGGCTATCAGATTTTGCGTAGAAATCGTTTGGGTAGGGGTGGGGGAGTGGACTTGTACATAATAAATAACTTCAACAATACTGTTATTGATACCTTTGATTTTGTAAGCGACCTCTACCATAAGCGCCCATATAGCAAACTCCAGCAGTTGGTGACAATTGAAGACCGGGGGAGGGGAGGTGCAAAAAACTCACACGCCACTTCTTACCCAAGGATTGGGTATCTTATTAAGAATATTTCACTTTGAAGCAGAAGCCATGGGGCCATATGCCCCCCTTGCACCCCCCCCCCTCCAATGGATGCCCATGGACTCTACCTTAGATTTGATGTGCTGCAAACTCAGGATGAGCAACTCTACACTATTTATTGTCATTGTGTATCGCCCTCCTCATATTTCAGTTACGCAGATTTGCTTTCTTTTTCGTACCTCAATATGATAATATAATAGTTCTTGGTTACATGAATATTTACCTTTCAAATCATGACAATCCTTTGAGCAACTATTTCGATCATTTTAAATTTGATCAATTAATAAATGAACGTGTAAGTTTCCTAAATTGGAATCCAAGTTAGTAACTTTTAGAGATATAAAAATGTTAATGTCATTAATTTCCAGGGCGGCTTACTTCATGTTGGACATGATAATGTATTTTATTTTATGGATACTGATGAAAAAGTAAGTTGTTGAACTATTTGCGTAATACACATGTATTGATATCCATGCGCCATTACGAACTGCTCGTGTAACAAACCGGCTGCTCCATGGATAACGTCTAACTTGAAAAGCATTTTTAACAAACGCGACAAAGCGCTCTCGAATTTCCGTCATACCCATCTGATGTAAACTGGTCTACGTACAAAGATATGCGGAATTACGCACTTGCTTCCTTCCGTAGGGCGAAGAGAGCCTACCTTGCTAGGATAAATACTAAATTACATCACGCATATATTAATATCTGCTTAGAGAGGGGCGTTTTTCCATCCAACTGGAAGGAGGCAATAGTCACACCTTTAGCCAAAATAATAATCTATCTGAACGTGCCGATCTTAGACCTATAAGTGGCTTATGTTTCTTGTTGAAAGTCTTAAAGAAAATACTATACCAGCCTGTAGTGAGCTCACAGCGACACTAACATGCACCGAGGTCTCTTCCACTCACACAAGGGATCTTCAGCCACCCGCATCACCGCGCAGGTGGAGCCTTAATGTGTTATGACCAGACAAACAGTCAACCAGCTACCTTAGATTAGCTCTATCCAAAGATAAGCAGAAACGTACATCCTTAGCGCTGGGCTCTACAATGAGTTTCTCGTGTTGTCTTGCATTCCACTTCTCCATTTTCCTCCTAACTCTTTGCACGGGCACCCCTAAGGCTGGCTCAGGACCAACGAGCTTGCTGGATGATCCTGTCTTCGCCAGAGCGTCCGCCGTCTCATTCCCCTTTTGCCCAGCGTGTCCCGATACCCACACTAACGATAACGGATGCCTTGTACTAGACAATCTAGAGCCTCCCTGCATTGCAATACAACACTCGAAATAATCTTACAGGCACTTAGTACCTTCATTGCAGCCGGGCTGTCGGAGAAGATTGTTATTCCTCTCCTAGGCCCACCCCCCTCCAAAATGAGGAATACACAAGCCAAGAGGCAGAGATAGCCTAGTTGTAGGCCCAGGGACCCCGGCGCCAGAGCCCTCTTCGGTGACCGAGCCGTCCGTGTAACAGACTTGCCCACTCACTCCGGCAAACCAGCGTCCCACTCATACCACATTAAACTTGCGATCAAAGCGATATTTAGGGGTAATTAGATCACCCCTGCTCTACACCTTGCAGATGAGATACTTGACAACCTTGACGACAAATCCGGCACGCTGTTGGTCATGCTTGATTTTCCAAGGCTTTCGATACGGTCAATCATGAGATTCTTTGAGTAAGCTAAAGTATTATGTCGTTTGGTTTTCAGAAAGTTCAGAATCACATCCTCTTCCCTGCATCTGGACAGAAATGCCAGGGAAGCCAATAGTTGAGCTTTCTTTTTCCTTAGTTGTTGTAGTTGTCGATATCGTACTGTTACTTCCTCCCCATAGAGGCGTTGAATGAAATGAGAAAGCCTTTCGCGGCCATCATCCAATGTTATTTGATCGGTTTTTGGGTAGTTAGGCCATCGTAAAATATTTTTACTTGACGTTTTCGCCAAACACATTACCGTACTTTGACGAACAAAAGCGTCCTAGCGCTCATACGGTTTCGATGGACGGCCCCAGTTCTACCAAAGAGCCATTCAATCCGGCTGGTCGGAGTCCAGATCACCGAGGACCTGATCTGGCACGAACACATCTCGTCAATAGCTGCAGCTGCTGGGAAAAAGCTAGGCTATTTGTTTAGGGCTAAGAAGTACTTTTCTCCGCATGACCTTCTCACTCTATACAAGGCCCAGATAAGGCCTAGCCTCGAGTATTGCTCACACATTTGGGGTGCTGCCGCTCTGACTACCTTGTCTTGACTACATGCTGTCCAGAGGAGGGCGGTCCGACTGATCGATGACTCTTCTCTAACAGACAGTCTCGGGACTCTTTCGCACCGGCGGGCCGTCGGCGATATAGTTCTTTTCTATCGCTACACCAACAGGCTTTGCTCCTCAGAGCTCTCTTCCATGATGCCGCCGCGCGATGTGCCTGCCAGACAGACCCGCCTGACTTCGGCGTCCCATCCTAACCGTGTCAAACTTCGTACATCCAGAACTAGCCGATACGATCGCTCCTTTGTCCCGAGGGTATCTAGATTGTGGAACAACCTACAAGAGGAAGCTTTTCCCAGTTCTACTAACCTTAGGCAGTTCAAAAATCGTATTAACAAAATTCCTTTGGGATCATCATAGCAGCCGCGGTGTTCCGGCATTTAGGCTTCTGCCTGCGCGGCTGTTTCGATATAAAAAAAACACGAGTGGTTGGCATCCTCAGAAGGTGTTCACAGTTCGGAGATGCCAGAAGACCGGGCTCAGGGGATGGATCCGTACTGAAGCAGCCATAATTTTACAGAAGCTAAGCCACCTAAAAGCAACCTAAAGTCGAAAGAATTAAGAGCAATAAGAGATCTGAACAGAGACGAGAATGTTCAGGTTTTGCCGGCGGACAAAGGGAATGCCACCGTGGTCATGGACACCGAAGATTATACATCCAAAATCAATGACCTCTTAGATCGGAGTACCTACAAACGGCTAACCAGAGACCCAACCCAACTCATTGTCAGAACAACGAAATCACTGGTACAAAAGTCGAGCCTTAAAGATGAAATTAAGAAAAAGGTGTGCAGAAGTGAAGCACTAACTCTACGAATCTATGGCTTACCAAAGATCCACAAAGCCAACATTTCCTTGCGTCCCATTGTTAGTGCTATAGGCTCACCAATATATTACCTAGCCAAGCACCTCACAACCCTGCTTCAACCACACATTGGGCAATCCAACACGTACATCATTTCATATCAAAATAAAGAAAATTCATCTTGAAGAAAACGATATA